CCGTAGCAGTTGGCTCTCTCTAACAACCGTCTCAGGTCAGAGTCAGAGTCAAGTCACGAACCGAAATGACCAGCGCTGAGAAGAAGAGAGAGAAAAGGCCCCCACAAGTCAAACACGTCTCTGCTGCTCTATCATTTTTAGAGAGTACGGTAAATTTAAAAGAGCACCTGTTGTCCCTCTCTTTGAAGCCTACCCCCACCCAAACAATGCAACTTCTATCTCCCATCTGAAGAAATTCGAAACTGTTCTGGGTCTCCAGGCGGCGCTCGAATCACTTTCCGCGTACTTTTCCGCGCCAGATCGCTTCGACCGATTTGAAACTTTCGCGCAGAACGAGAGTGAATCGAAATGGACATAGAAAAGGTGAACACACGCTAATTAGACATATCCCGAGAAAAAGAAATGAGGGTACGGTAGTCGGGAGTGTTGCGAACTACCAGAAAACCAGTTCGGAAGAAGAGGAGGAGATGAATAAAAGGAGAAGAAGGCGAGGATGTACAAGAAAGCATTAGCAAGTTCACAAACCAATCTGTAGTCCTAGAAAGGAAGGATTACTGTAGACAAGGGCATAAGCACTATAGAACAGAAGAACAGATAACATAATATCAAAGCAAGGAGGCATATCCGTTGCATCTTGTCTCTCATCCAGGCTCAAGTACGTATAAATGTGTTGCACATACATACACGCTGTTTGATGTAACTTTACACCAAGAGAGCAAGGGCGCGAGATGAGCCAATGTCCAGGAGGCACTCCGAGATCAGAGTGACTCTAGTAATCGACGGGCTCCGGCTGGTAGGTTACGTGTGTGGAGCGATCCGAGAAAAGAAGCTTCTTTTCGATTACAACATTCGCAACATTGTAATGTGTCCCGATTGCATAATTATACGGGGGCTCTTTGCGAGGGTTCTTCGAAGAAAGAGTACAAGCTTGACGGGAGGGGAAAGAGGTTTGATCGGAAGACAGACAGGGGGAGGAGTTCCGAAACGACTAATAATAAATAGAAACTTTGACCAGCTTTTCAAATTCATTAGTACAGTATAGAGTAGAGAAAAAGAAATAAGAGTATAGCACGGGGAAGAATATTGAAAAATACTTTCGGAGTTTCAATGGACGAAAATTCAAAGGTGGGAGGAGCTTAGGTTCGGTAGCAGAATCATTTAAATGAGCATGTATTTCCGTAATCATTTTTGCAAATTTTCGGGTTTTTGTTTTTAAAAAGTAGTTCAGAATCGCTGAAATTCGTTGAAAAATCGAAAAAATAGGCCAGAAAATACTTACAAAAACACATACTCCTTTAAATGCGCCTTCAAAGAATTCGCTATCAAAAACACTTAAAATTAAACCAGTACAATATGGTCATGGGATTTTCGAAAACTTTGAATTGTCAAAAAATCTCTAGAAGATTCTCTAGAAGTAGGATAGATGGCGTAGATTAATCAGCGATTCAAAATCAAAATCAGGTGATAGCTAGCTAATCACTAAAAACAGGAAATAGTAGCCTTCACTTTAGAAGTTTATATGTTGAAATATTCTTCAGCTTTTCCTCTCTTTTCAAAATGACGTACAAAACGTAAACACATTATCAAAATGTTCAAAACTTTTGAAATGAAGCTGGTAAAGTCGTATAAATTAGTGCAAACATTTGGGCTCCCCGGGAGCCCTGAGGAGTTGAAAACGAAAAGAGGGGGTCCAGTATTATTACAGCATCGAAACCAGGAGAGGACCCCACTACTGGCCCTCTGGGTTAGTGCACAAGGCCTCCGGAGAGTGCTAGACGGTTACATCATAAACAATTGAGCAATCGGGGTAGAGCAACGTCTCGTGCTCCCGATCCCGAAGAGTTCGCAATTACCACAAAATTTCTTGAGTGAGAAGAGCATTCCACGTCGATGAGAGAGAGAGAAAAGTTGAAAATGTTTAGATATTTAACAAAGAATTGTACTCATGGGGCGGGTGGGGTGGCATG